TAATAGGCCCTCAATTATTTGTCAAAAGAAAGAACATGCATTAAAGATGTATATGTTAAACTCTCTGTACGTTATCCTTTTGAATCCTCATGTGACCCTTTCCCAGGTAGATGCTGGAACTCTAACTCACAAGTTTTGTCAGTGCAGTTGTGACAAGTACCAGCAGTCAAACAAGGCATGAGCTCACTTCATACCAATTGGACTTAGCCCATTCTACTGCCAAAGTCATTCTTCCACAACCACAGCCCAATGAAAATGCTTAGTGTCTTGTGTTTGGAAAATCATTCTATTTAATATACCGGAAATACATTTCATTTTAGTTTCTAAAGATAAAATCCAAACTGGGGAGAATTTCTGAAGCTTGAAATAGAAATACTTGGAGAGGGTTTGGGACTTAAAATAAAATACATTTTTGCTTGCATCTAATCATACAATCATAAAATTGGATAAACCCTACAGTGGCCAACAGTAACAAACACCACAGTTCATGCATTCCCCATACTTGGGGTGTGTTTGAGATCAAAGGCTAATTTCATTTAAAATGCAGATAACTGAGCCAAGAAATAGGAGTTCAAAATCAAAATATTAAACTAAGAATAACTCAGGCCACTGGAAAAGATAGAGTAACAATACAATTTGTAAAAATTCCTTTATAAAAGTCATTTTTATATAAAGCAAATTTATTTTATTTGACTATTTCTTCCTAGAAAGACTTCAGGAAACAAAAAGCTTTGAGTGTATCCCTTAAATAATAGAAGATAAACTATTATATATATGCATATACATGTATAGATGATGGGCCTTTTACCTACCTAAATTTAAAACTAGTAAAATTAGGTCAGCTACCGATTCATAACTGATATAGAATAGAGGTAACTTGATCAGAAGGAAGGAATTAATATTGGAGCCAACTGGGTACTTTACATGCCTTCTAAACATCAAAGGAAAACTATAAACAATTTTCATTCCTTCTCTCCTAGACAGATATTTTCCAGTAATAAATACTTTATAAAACTTATCGCCTTAGCCGGGCATGGTGGTGCATGCCTGTAGTCCTAGTACTTGGGAGGCAGAGGCAGGCAGATCTCTGTGAGTTCAAGGCCAGCCTGGTCTACATAGTGAGTTCCAGAACAGCTGGGGCTACAGGGAGACCCTGCTTCAAAAAGACAAAAAAAAAAAAACCTATCGTCATCAAAGTTTCAAGAGCTGATCATCCCTCCTACAAACCCAGGACCTACTACAATGCTATCTGAAACTACCCTGGCCATACAGCTCTAAAGTCATGAACTGCAAACCAGAAGTTCCTTCAATAGATTATAAGCACCTTGCCTACCCCATAGATAATCAGTTTTGCTTTATAGTCCAATTATTAATTATGCAGTACTTTGTGAGTTTTTAAATTATCACCAGTATTGTTTTAAGATTTATATTTATTATGTTTTAATTTAATTATGTGCATATGTGTGTGTGTCTGAGTGGGGGTATAGGACATGAGTGCAGGTGCCCTCAGAGTACAGAATAGGGCAGGAGATCCCCTGAAGCTGGATTTACAGACAGTTGTGAGCCACCCAACAAGGGTACTGGGGATCGAACTTGGAATCTCTGCAAGAGCAGTATGTGTGCTTAACAACTGAGCCATCTCTCCAGCCCACCAGCACCGCTTTTTAAGGACTTTTTTTTAATAGCTTGAAAATTCTCTATTAATCACATTTAATTATAATTTTTTCCAAAGGCATTGATTGGCCCATGTTATTATTAGTCAGTCCAGTTCTTAGTCATCCAAATAACCACATAATGACAGTGTGTAGCATTTTTAATTAAAAAAAAAATCTTCAACTTAAAGATAGAAGGAGAGCTGAGGATATGGCTGGGTGACAGAGTACTTGACTAGCATGCACAAAGCCCTGGGTTCAATCTCCAGCATCACAAAAAAAAAGTCATAGTAATAAAGGTAGGTGGCATAGTAGAGTCATCACTGTCACTTTATGGGTGATATGACTGTGACAAAGAGGAAGGCAGTGACCTACAGCAGCAACAGGAAACATACAACATACAACAAAAGGATTAACCAGCACTGATTATTCTGAAAATATATTTTTCATCTACGTGCTGTGTGAGAGTAATGCGTGAGTCTGAAGGGGCAGAAACACAGCAACCAGGGAACACCTGACAGTCTGGAGAGCCCCAGTGGTCAACTAGAAAATAGCATATGGAGGGCTGAACGCCAAAAGAAATGTAAGCCACTCACGTGTAATTTGTGGAAGAAAGAAGGCCAAAAAAAAGAATACAAAAGTTTGAAGGATCCATAAATGGGACATCTATATCATACCCCTCCCCGGAAGCTTCAGGAATCTCTGCAGAAGAGGGAGTGGAAAGATTGTAAGAGCCAGTTGGTGGATGACCACAAGGAAACAGTGTTTTCCAGACATCAGGGAAGCTGCACACATGAATCCAAGGTTATGTCAACATGAACAAGATCTGCTTAAGCTCAAGTCAGACAAAAGCCCAGCAGGAGAGAGTAGGTAGGCACAAAGTCCCAACCCTAACCACGGAGGGACTGGCATTTGATAGTTACACAGAAAGGAAGAGCTGGTTTTCTTGAAGGGTGTGACCCCTGGTAAGTCAAGGACACTTCAGGGCAGATTCCACACTCAAGAGAACTTGAGTAACACAAATTGGACTGGATAGGGAAAAAAAAAAAAAAAAAAAAAAACCATGAAGGTGTCTGGGTAGGGAGGTGGGGTAGATCTGGAAGGTGTTGGAGGAGGGGTAGAATATGACCAAAATACATTGTATAAAACTCAAAGAATTAAAATATTTTAAATTTTCAAATAAATAAAAACAAAGGTCTCCTGACTTAAAAGAAATGGCGAAAGGAGTGAAAAATAAGAGTTATAAAAATACTTTTTCTAAAAGCCTATCCTAATTTCTATAGTAATTGCAGATAAGGGAACCACTGTGACCACCTTTTTACATTTAAAAGACATAGAAATCTAATTTTGAAGTGAGACCATCTTTAGTAATCAGGGAAATGCAAATTAAAACTACTTTAATATTTCATCTTACCCTAGTCAGAATGGCTAAGATCAAGGAAACAAAAGACAAGTGCCTGTGGTAAGAATGTGGGGAAACAGGAACACTCATTCAGTTCTGGTGGGATTGCAAAGTGGTGTATCCACTATGGAAGTCAGTTTGGAGAATTCTCAGAAAACTGAAAATAGACCTACCGCGTGATGCAGCTGTACCACTCCCTGGCATGTACCCAGAGGACTCAGTATCCCACTATAGAGATACTTGCTCCACCACGTTTGTTGCTGCTCTTTTCACAATACAAAGAAATGGAAACAACCTAAATGCCCCTCAACCAATGAATGGATAATGAAAGTGTTGTACATTTACACATGGTGTTCTATGCAGCTGTAAAGAAAAATTATATCTTCAGGTAAGTGGATGGAACTAGAAAATGTTATACTGGATGAGATAACCTAGACTCAGAAAAACAAGGGATGCATGTTCTCTCTCAGTTGTGGATCCTACTCCAAATCGTTAGATACAAATGTAGCTCTCACCATTCACCAAAGAAGCTTCTTTTTGCAACAAATGGAGACTATTACAAAGTTCCTCAACTGATCACAATGCAGAGAAAAAGTGACTCTGTGGTGTCCAGCTCTAAGTGATTCATCCATAATGAAACCTCTACATCTAAGGCTGGTGGAACATCAGGGAAAAGGGGGTGGGAAGAGTAAGCATAAGAGTAAGAGCCAGAGGGACAGGACACCTGTTGTTAATGCATTCTAGACATGACAGGGAAGCTGTGACAATGAGATCTCCACAGTATGGGAGTCTAACAGGATCTTCACAGTGACAAGACAAGTTGACATGCCAAGGTTGGTGGGGGAAATTTCACCTCAAGAGGAAGAGCTGCAGACAATCAATGAATGCTAAGGGAGGAGAATCAGTCTTCTCCAGGGGCAAGCTCTCTGAGAGGTTATCTAATCCCAAGTTGTTAGCCCTAAAACATGTACACACAAGCACTGCTAAATGGACAAAATGTATTATACATATATATATATGTACATATGTATGTATATTTATATAACAATAATCATCAAAGAAGGGGACAAAAATTGTGAAGGAGATTGAGGAACATGGGAGCGATAGAAATGATGCAAATACAATACTCATTGATAAAAGTCTCCAAATAAATTTTAAAATTACATTTAAAAAGATAGGGGACTGGAGAAACGGCTCAGTGGGTAAGAGTGCTGGCTGCTCTGGCAGAGGAACTGGATTCAGCTCCCAGGACCCACATGGTGGCAAACAACCATTAGTTCCAAGGGAATCGGACATTTTCTTCTGACTTCCACTAGCTTTGTATGCACATGGTACACTTACATCCATGTAGGCAAATTACTCATACACATAAAATAAAAATAATAAATATTTTTAAAAGATAGACAAAGAAACAAGTTCTTATACTCAATGCCAACATTCACCAAAAAATAGTGTAGTAGACAGGAAAATATTATCAAGGTAGATTATATTAATAAATGAAAGTGGGACAATGAAACTCAAAACTCTGTATTATTATGTATGTTCAAAAGAATCTCAGGGCCGGAGAAATGTTTCAGCAAGTAGAAGTACTTGCTGTCAGGTCTCATAATCTGAGTTTGACCCCCAGGACACATGATAAGAGGGGACCAAGCCTCTCAAGTTGTCCTCTGACCTCCACATGTGTATGTGGCATGCACACACCACACACACATTTTTTAAGCATCTGAGAAAAAAATCAATTGGCAATAACTATGGGATTTTAAAATTTCTCTCTTCTCCCTATTTTGAGATATGTAACATAATATCATTAATTACATTTACTCTACTATATAACAAAATACCAGAATGATATCACATTGTACCCCAGAAATATGTACAATTGTTATTTTCTATTAAAAATAAAACTAAAAAAAGAAATCTAGTTTTGACAGTAACTTGTTACTTACCAAGCCTGCTATTGGTGTAGACAGTCTATTGATCTTCTTAATGATGCCAGGTTTTAGCTTGTTAATCAAACTGAAAGTAAATAAAGAAATAACAAATGCAGTTACAAAAACATCAATGTGAGTCCAGTGCTCTTTAAAATATTTTCAAAGCTCCCAAGTAACACAATTCTCTCCTCAAATGTGTTGTTTTGAGTCAAAGGCCCATCAGAAGACGAACAATCCAAAACTTTTTAGAAGTCACAAAACTAAGAACTTCACTACACAAAAGGATGAAAGGGTTCTCCCTGGATTACACAGACACACATTTATATCCAAAGCCATGTTTTTAAAAATAGTTTCACATGTATTAAAGAAAGATGCTGTTTGCTTCTGTTTCAACGCCCAATTTGAGAATCTTCTCATCATAATGCAATCCACTTGGCCCTAAGAACACTTTTTCCTAATAATTGTCCCTGGGAATTTTTTTTTCTCACCCAGGTGGTATTTTGAAACATACCTTCCAACCCACTTTGTTTCACCACATTTAAAAACTGCAGAAGAACTCATCCAAATAATTGGCTATTTCTTACTGGTAACTCATTCAAGCCCATGACTAATTGTTTTGTTATCAGAGAAGAATGACTGGGTAAAAATCAAATGTATCAGAACTCCTCCAAATTACCCCAGAATCTAATATTGAAAAGTTTAAGTTTCTATGACAGATACTACAGAAATATCTATGCCCCTATACTCCAAAGCACTAGGAAGGAAACTCATCTTTGACAACCACATTCAAAGCACAATTTTGCTTCTAAATCTAGATCGTTACTGATTTGTCCTTTTGTTGTTAAATGATACAATGCCAGACCATATAGTGACTGAATACTACAATAATGTTTTTCCATTAATATGAGCTTGGCTAATTAATAATTAATCACTGTCACAAATAAATATCTTCAAAGTGATTTTTTTCTATTTAATAATTTATCCACAAAATAAGCCATTCTTTCTTCTATAATAGAACTTCAAAAAGAAAGTAAATAAGGAAAAAGGAATGGAATCATCTAATTTACAGGTCTCTTCTTTGCAATGGGCACCAGGAAAAGAAAATAAATGAATTTTGTGGAATGTCACTCTTTTGGCATTCCAGAGATTTCTATATACACTTGAGAATGCTAAGAATTAAAAAGACAAAAAGTCTCAATTTAATAACTTTCAGAATGTGGTTCAACAGGATTCAAAATTACAAAACAGAGGTTTGTGAAGATTTAACCTGGCAAACAAAAGCTGTTTTCCTGTTTTCACCACTTGTTCTCACAAAGATCTTTAGACAACTTGATTACAGATAATATAACCATCGGCCTGGCTTTGGGGATGGAGAGTGCTGGGACTGGAACCCAGGGCCTCATGTGTACTAAGCAAGTACTTTAGTACCAGCTACACTCTCACCCCACCCCCTCAACTTTACGTTATCTCCTCTAGTTATAATTCCACGAGTCCTAATTTCTGATCTGTACACTCAAAGTCCTGTAAGAAGGAAAGCTTTCTCCTTCTTTGTCCATATTCTCCTCAGTCACCAACTGAGGAGCTAGAAAATGATTAAGCAGATTTGTAACAAATGACGGCTCCAAATGAAGTCCTCTAGTTGTTCCCTCTCAGCTGGGTGTGTCTATAATTCTGGAATTTTTGCACATCTATTGCTGCTGGCATTTTTGCAGTATGTAGAATAATAATAATAGCTCAGGCAGTGCTTAATAGCAACATAATTCTGGCATAGTATAAATCAAGAAGTTCTTTACAGCTGTTGACCACTAGCTCAGTGATGATATTTTTCAGAGTAATACTTATCTTAATATGTAATGTTTCAATGACATAAATTAGAAGCTGATATGGGCAGAGGCAATAGATGACATATCAGGAAACTTTGACCACAGTTGTCCTTTTAGAGGAAGAGCGCCATAAATTCCTGCTCCACTCCTTAGAGTCACCAGTGACTCTGGCCAGGTCATTTCATTTTCCTGTTTACATAATTTATCACTTTAGTAGGGTAAGGTTAGTAATTTCAGGAGTTTTTTTTGAGATTCAATTTCTGAAATGAATAATAAAACAGATTACGCTCAATGAAGGAAGGGACAGAGGAAGTAAGGGGCAAAGGTAAAGGAAATGGCATAGACAGATAATGTCGTCCAGTGAGTTTACTAACTCCTCCCTCACTGACAGGTTTGGCCAGAGATATTACTTAAAAGCAACACATGCACCATGGATTAGTCTTCCTTCCCCACTCCTGAACCTTCTTGTACGTGCAAACACTGAAATAACCACAAGGGAAAACAGCACTCCGGAGAGCACACAGTCCACCCTCCAGGGAGCTGAGTCACTAGAGGAAAATGCTGTTTTATTTTAATCCTCATAATGATCATCAGTTCTGAGCACTCGAAAAAGGAGGAAATAACCATACAGTTTTGGAAAATACTGAGCATGTACTCACTTGAATTATAAATTGTTTTCATACACAATTTAAAGGAGAACTTTTAGGATAAAGAATTTTATTTTATTTTTTTTAAGTTTTATAAGATCTAAGCACAATTGGATGAAATTTAAATATCCCTAACAGAATACAGGCAGGGTCTCAGGTTAACCAAATACAAGCCCTATGTATGGAAGTACTCTTTAAGAAACAGAAATTCTTTGCATAATAAAGGGCTCTTGAATTTTGCATGTGTAATTCACAAAGGGGACACTGACTTCAGGTAACTGCCTCTGCCTGATTCAGACTACAGCATAAACTTCCAGATGCTTCCATGGCATAGGATCTAGAATTAGTCACAAGACCATTTTATCAGCCTGCATCTCTATGTTCCACCCCAACCCTGAGCAGAATTATTACATATCTACACCCCCAAGCCCTCCTAATAATTCGATCCCTCTTGTGGAGCATGCTCATAATAATGTCAACAACCCTTGTCCTCATCTCATCCCTTGCTGTGTGGCCTGAATGTCTGTGATCCTCCTAAAATACTCATGTTTAAATTCTAATTTCCAAAGATACGTTATTAAAAGGCAGGGACCTTTGGGAGGTGGCAAGTTCATGAGGCTGAACCTCACAAATGGGATTAGTGCCCTCAGTCATCAGGCCTTGCCCTCCCACCACATGAACGTGAAAAGGAGAAGATGTGTACTTAGGAAAGAAAGACCATACCTCACATGGGACAGCCAGGCTGCTGCCACCTTGATCTTCAACTTCTAGGCCCCACAACTGTGAGAAATGAATTTCTGTTGTTGTAAGCCACTTGTTATTGTCGTCCCAGTGAACTAAGTTCTCTCCAAGGGTCTTCTTTCTTCCTCCGTCATCCCCCATGTCTACTCTTCTCCAAAAGGGCTGAGTTACCGTGGTTTGAAAGTTGGCTCTATTCACATGCCTTTCTATCTGTGAATATCTCCTTTATAACTAAAGTGTGACACTCAGAAAACTAGCCATAAAGCTCAATATGGATCAGACAGGAAAGGTTTTAATGGTAATTGAATTTAACACGTGACTTCAGATTTGCAGGAGCGCCAAACGCGAACTTCACTTTTCCCTTTATCAGAAAGCTCTTTGGCAAGGGGACATAATTTAACGATACCTTTTGCTGGTTCCAAAAATTTTCAAATTAAATGAGAGACATACTTGGAGGAATGTACTAACACACTGAAAGAACTTTTAAACTTATAAATTATTTTATTAGTCATTCACACAGGGGCATTTCTAATGCTGTCTGCCACCACATTTTTCAATTATGCATCTTTGATATCAAACTTTAATGATTAAGACAATTTTTAATTTATTTTCATTCATGTTCTTATTTTTGTTTTTAAGACAAAGCTCCATGTAGCTCAGGCTAGCCTCAAACTATGCAGTCAAGGATGACCTGGCACTCCTGATCCTCCTGGTTTGCCATCACACTTGGTCAATGCAGTGCTGGGGTTTAAACTCAGAGCATCACACATACAAGACACATACGCTGTCAAGTGAGCTATGTCCTCATTCCCCATTTTAAAAAAGATGCAATAAAGATGTCACATCTTCCTAACAAATTGGAGATATTAATACCATATATATATAAAATCCTCTGGAGGACATTCATTCATTCATCTGCTTTTCTTCTAAATACAAATTCTGTTCATTATACATCAGAATGCTTACAAAAGACAGCCCTGGGCTCAGTCATAAAACAAGCAGATAGTACAGCTGCGGCAGAAAGTCCTGAAACCATCTCCTTACTTGGGGTACAACAAATTTTGGTGTACGTAAATGCTTCTAAACCTCTAACTTATTTAAAGAGGTAAATTAAGAAAAAAATTACTTCAATAAAATGCTAGAAAAAATTTACCCACAATACCTCCTCTCTAATTTTTCTGTTCCCAGACACTAAATTTAAGGATTCTCTCCTAATTGTCAAAATTGATCGATCAGGAAAGTAAACTGTCAGATACAGGCATTTGGACTAGTTATCTTAAAAAGATGTCTTTCTAAGATTATAAATTAATGGCCTTTATCTAAATGCATAAGTTGTGATATTTTAAAATAAAAAGCACATTGAATAGACATTTCCATGGGTAACAAAATTAGCATTTGTCATTTAAAATTTTAAAGTTTAAAGTAATTGGTATAAAGAATTCTGATTGTGCTAGTATTTTCAAAGATAAGTGCTAAAATTAGTATGCTCAACTTGAAAATAAAAACTTAACAATAAATGCCAAGATGGGGAAAAGTATGGAAAAGCTAAAAGTCTATACCAGTGCAATTTAAAGTCATCATTTCTCTAAGATGGGGCTATCTTTTAAGTATTTATTATTATTTTTTTAATTATGTGTACTTGTAGGGAGGGGTTATGTGCACATGAGTGCAGGTGCCTGTGGAGGCCAGAGACTTGGGATCCCCTTGAGTTACAGACAGTTGTGAGCAACCCAGCATGGGTAATAGGAATCAAACTCTTGAGTCTTCTGCAAGAGCAGTATGCACTCTTAACCTCTAAGCCATCTTTATGGTCCCAGGGACTTGCTTATTCAGCCTGATGGTTATGTTTGAAATACATTACAGTTCCTGAAGCA